TTTCTCTTTCTCTTTCTCTTTCTCTTTCTCTTTCTCTTTCTCTTTCTTTCATTTCCTTCCATTTTTTATCTATCTTTTCCTTCCTTACTTCTTCCCTCCCTGCCTCCCTTTCTCTCTCTCTCTCTCTCTCTCTTTCTTTCTCTCTCTCTCTCTTTGCTTTTTTTCTTTTCTGTTTCTCTCTGTCTCTCCCTTTCTTCTTTCCTTCCTTTCCATACATACACACACAAACACACAAACACACACAGACACACACAACCTTCCCTCCAATGTCCTCCCTCACTAAGCAACCAGCAGTTTTAAAAAACCACTTATCTTCCTTTGCATATTGGGTGTGGGCAGTTACCTTCAGAGCTTCTGAACGCTCGCCCAGTGTAGAGCAAAAGAATAGAAACAGTTTCTGGGAGCCAAGGCAGATGAAAGGGGACAGAAACTCGATTTATTGAAGTCAAGTTGCATAATTTTTCCAGTTGGACTCTAGCTACCGAAGGAGATGGAAGGGCTGAATCCACGCAGTGTTCTCGTGACAGGATCTAATCGGGGCATCGGCCTGGAGCTGGTGAAGCAACTGGTGGGGAAAAATGACCCACCAGAATGGATCTTTGCCACTTGCCGTGACCCAGAGGGACCAGGTGCAAAGGTCAGTCCTGGAAGGAATCAACTGGGGATTAATAACTTGGCTCTAGTGACAGGCAAAGCCTGCGTTGCTTGGGAAAGGGAATGAGGTGGAAACCTCTTACAAACGTTCTCTTCTCTTCTTCTGCAAATAATTTAACGGCCTCCTGCTTTCCTTTCTGTTCAGCCACACATTCTTCACCAGCCTCAAAACAGCTTCCAAAGCCTCTCGCATTTGTGTCTTTCAGAGCTTGAAGAATCTGGCTGCCCAACACCAGCACCGAATAGAAATCATCCAGCTTGGTGAGTTCCGGGCTCCTGCCCTTGCATTCAAACCGAGCAACCTGGAGTCCTTTCCGATATTGCTGGCTCCTAACTCTCAGCATGTATTAATATTGTCCTTCTTCTGGGGTCTGAGAGCCAGCCACTGGTGGGCCAGCAGGGTCTGGATGGTTGCTGGTTGCCCCCTTTCCCTGATGGGCCAAGAGCTGGCTTGCAGGGGGGATTTTTCTGTGAGATGGGAGTGGAGGTAGTCCTTGATGTACGACCACACCTGAGCCCAAAATTTCTCTTGCTAAGTGAAACATTTGTTCAGTCAGCTTGCCCCGCAGTTAAGGGAATCACTGTAGTTGTGAAATTACAGTTGTTCGGTCAATCTGGCTTCCCCACTGACTTTGTTTGTCAGAAGGTCGCAAAAAGTGAACATGGGACATTGCAACAGTCATATATCCGAATCAATTGCCAAGCATCTGAATTTTGATCACGTGGCTGTGGGGATGCTACTCCGGTCATTAAGTGTGAAAACTGGTCATCAGTCAACTTTTTTTTATTTTTTACTTATTTAGTTATTTTGTCAAACAATTATTAGATAACGGATATAAGTATAAACATGGTTATAAGTACATGAAATGGGTACAAATAAGAAAAAATAAATAAACAATAGGACAGGGATGGTAGGCACATTGGTGTGCTTATGCATGCCCCCTACAGACCTCTTAGGAAAGGGGTGAGGTCAATAGTAGACAGTCTAAGGTTAAAGTTTTTGGGGTTTGGGGAAGAAACCACAGAGTCAGGTAGAGCATTCCAGACATTGACCACTCTGTTGCTGAAGTCGTATTTCCTGCAATCAAGGTTGGTGCAGTTTATCTTGAGTTTATATCTATTGTGTGCTCTTGTATTGTTTTGGCTGAAGCTGTCTTGCATTTCCTGCAGGAATTTGTCACACCTGCATCATAGGTCTGTTGCTCCAATAACAGTCCTCGTAAAAGGGATTGTCCAAACGAAAATCTGCTGTTTTCTCCTTTAGTTCGTTCCCTTTGTCTCACAAAGGGTGAATGAATAGCCAGACCTGTGGCTGCCAAAAAAAAAAAAAATGTGTAAAAACCAAGGCATTTATTTGTTCTCTGTTCTGAGATTTTAAGCTAGATAGAATTGTACACATGCAATTAGCAATTGCATAATAACATTTAAAGACCAAAAAACACAGGCTGATAGGATAGGCAATGAACCTGGAGGCCAAAGGATCTTAGGGTATATTGTACAGGGTGTGTGTGTGTGTGTGTGTGTGTGTGGCATTCAGCTTTGTTCGGGTATTTTCCCACGTTATTGTAGTTGTGCTTTTAAAGTTGTAGCAACGTTTCGGCAGAATCTCATCTGCCATCATTAGGCTTCTGTATAGTGTTCATCTGTGATAGTGTTCATCTGTATAGCGTTCATCTGTTCACAGATGAACACTATACAGAAGTCTGATGATGGCAGATGAGATTCTGTCGAAACGTTGCTACAACTTTAAAAGCACAACTACAATGACGTGGGAAAATACCCGAACAAAGCTGAATGCCATACATATATGTGTGTGTGTGTGTGTGTGTGTGTGCAACAATAACAATCATGCTTTTGTATTGTAGTGGCTAGTTTTAGAATTTGTCTTTGGTCTTCATGCTGGGTTATAAAAAATTTGCTGCCTCTTCAACCATAATTCATTTTCACAACCACCTTAGCAAATATATATTTCAGTAGGCCCGAAATGCAAAAACAGAAACAAAAAAACCCCAAATAACAAAAAAACAAGAGAGAGAATGAGAAATGCAGTGACGTGAACATGGGGGTTAGTTCTTCAATCATGGCATCCTTTTGGAAAGCATATGTGAGATTGCAATTCACACGAAACACAAGACACGACACGGATCTTCAAACACGGGTTGATTTATTCGGTTCTGCAGAAGTGGGTTCACATCCAAGGCAGCAGGGTGGAACCTCGAGCATAGTTTACTCAACATACTTATACCCTAGCCCCCACCCCATCATACGATGGCTTGGTTCACAGATAGGAACACCCATTTCTTATCAGTACTTTCCAGGCTACCAACTGACAGTAAGTGGTTTTGGCTATTTCCTCTGGAAAAGTACTGAAGCTGCCTTTTGAAACACACATACATATACAAAATGGATTCATATTGCTCTACTTCTTACACATACATGGATATACTTTCATAAAAGTTCCCAAAAACTATTGTTTTGATTCTCCTGCTCTGCATTTTGCAACTATACCTCACAATTCTGCAAGTTACAGCATCTTCTTGGGAGGTGCCATTGATCCAGCCTTGGATTGGAATTGCCAGAACCTCTCAGATGAGATTAAGGAAAACTTTTCTAATATAGAGAGCTCCAATATATAAAATGCAGTCAGGTGTCTTGTTGGGAAACAGCAGGGTTGCTTCCTGGCTAGGGATCTGCACCCATTACAAAACCTTTCTTGTTTCTGTTTTAGACACTTCTGATCCATCCAGCATCAATGCTGCTGCAGTCAAAATTACTGGACGTCTACACGGAGCTGGGCTGAATCTGTTGTTCAACAATGCTGGAATAGTAAAGCCATCCAGTCTGGAATCAGAGACACCAGAAAACATGCTAGAAGTGTACAATACCAATGTCGTTGGTCCTATGGTAATGGGCCAGGTAGGAATGTCCTTCAGATCTCTGCTTTTGACTAGGTCTCACTTAGCAATAGTACTTATATAGTACTACAGGGTCCTTTTATAGCATTCTCGAACCAGTTTACAGAGTCAGGATCTTGCCTCCCAACAACCAGGGTCCTCATTTTGTTGACCTCAGAGGAATGGAAGGCAGAATCAATTTTGAGCTGATCAGAATCGAACTTCTGGCAGCAGGCACAGTTAGCCTGCAATACTGCTTTCTAACCATTGCGTCACCTCTTCCGGAAGGTGCTGAAGACCTGATTTTGCCAGCAGGCCTGGGGAACCCAGAGCAGGATGGAGCCCATCAAATGGCTCATTGTGTGAGTTGCTGTCATCGGGGTGGGGGTGGGAGTTGGGAGGTGATTCCCCCCCACCCAGATTTTGTTCTAATGTACTTTATTAATTTATTTGATTCTTTTTGTTAGAAAAGAATTGTTTTTTCAAATATAGTGTTAACATTCTGTAAGCCGCCTTGAGTCACCATGGGCGAATAGGTGGCAATATGAATTCTATAAACAAACAAACAAACAAATAAATACCACACACTTACTTTTGTTTCTACTTGGAAACTGCTTCTGGACTTTATGCTTGAGGTGTGGGGGGGGGGAATGAAACTTTGATTTTGGGTATTACCGATTAGATAGGTTTGTTGTATAGAAATGGCTTATTTATACTATTACATAAAAGTAAAAAGTTGAGGTTTGATTCTACTATCTTATTCTACCATACTAAAGGAAATCGGAAGTCAATGCCTTATCTTTCTTTTTTCCCTTTTTCCTACACTTCTCCCTTCCTGTTGCCCTCCCCTGTTTTTCCTACTTCTTTTTACATTGTTGTGTTTTGAATTATAAAGTAATAATAATAATAATAATAATAATAATAAGAATAAGAAGAAGAAGAAGAAGAAGAAGAAGAAGAAGAAGAAGAAGAAGAA